GAATTTCGACTAAGAAAAAATATCGTAGTATGCCCTGAAACTTTAATAAACATTTCAAATTTTGTCCCAAGGTGGACCTTTTAGTACTTGACATTTCAAAAAAAATATTGAAATCGGTTTACAACTTCAAATTTTAGGGGGATGTTTCCATTAAAAATGGGTCACACTTCATATACATACCAAAGTGGTCTGAATATGAAATCCTGCAATCGGTTTAGACATTTTCCAAACCAGTACGTTAATCCATACTTTTTCAATTCATAAAGATGTATCTTATGGTATGCCGTTCAAAAGATTTGGTATGGTCTAAAAATATATCGAAAGTTTCATCATTCCTATCTAAGCTTCCAGTTGAACCTCATATAAACTTAGTATAAGTAAAAATTGAAGTGAAAAGGAATTCAGCGATGTCCATTCGGAACATATTTGTTGACTGTTGGTTGACCATATGACATTGTTGTAATATAAGTAATAATGAAAAAAATAAGTAAAGATCAATCTTTGCATCAAAGTGAACATTTCAAAATGGAAAATGAAATTGACAATATAAAATCTAGCAACTCCTAAGTCTAGTAATGCTAGAGTTATGAGAGAACCAAACTTTTTCAACAAGGGTCCATCATTTATTGAATTTAAGGGTTACCTCTGAAGTCGATTTTCAATTTGTTAGGTAGGATTATCCTTTTGATAACTATCTTCATAAGAACTCTTCAAGACACTTTGTTGATTGATATGTCTATACTGATGAGCGGTTTGATCCGTCTTATTGTAAATTTTGGCTGAATCAAAGTAATTTTTAGGTCCTTTCTTCTGCGAACTTTACGGAATGTTCGGTTCACTCTTCGGCTGCGGTTCAATTTGGACCATGGTTTTCATCGCTCTAGACAGATACAACGTCATCGTCAAAGGACTGAGCGCTCAACCCCTGACTAAAAAAACCGCCCTTCTTCGGATTCTTTTGATTTGGGCAATGTCTATCGGCTGGACAATCGCACCACTCTTTGGATGGAACAGGTATATTTGCTGGGGAAAAAGTTTGAGGGTATTTTCAAGTGATTTTTTATCCTTGACTTAACTTGACTTATTTTAACATAACTTGACTAAACTTAACATGTCAGTGTGGGGCAAATCTTGCAGGTGAATTAGAACCAGTTAACCCCGACCGATTGAGTTGAAATTCTACATACACCTTCTCGGGACAATGCACGATTAATTAAATTCCGTCATTTAAAATCCAATATGGCGGACGGCACATAATGGCGATTTATAAATTTCATAGTAACCCCTATGATGTGGGTAGCAAATGTAAGGGTGTGACAAATAGAATACGGTAAGCAAAGGGACGTCATTGTAAATCTAGTATGGCGGACGCCTCCTTATTGAGGATCTAGATAGCTCAAAGTTTACAGGAAAACTTGTAATAATGATCCTTTAGCAGAAATGGATATGATGAATCGCAAACATGCTGAAGCGTAAAATGAAATGATCGTTGAAAAAATATTTTTTCAAACTAGCTTTTATCGAAGCGTACTAAGCTAATATACCTACTAACAAGAATGAAATAAGTTTTGCTTAGAGAGGAAATCAAGTTTAGAAAAAATAAATTATACCATGCTACTTACTGAATATCGTTATCAATAATAATTTTAATTAAATTGATAGGGGTATATTTTTAAGAGGAACTACTTCTCCATCTTAAAAACTGAAAATTATTGATTTTATTGAAAATGAAGGCAGTTTTTTGTAAATAGATAGCATTAGTGGTATCAGCTAAAAAAATCCTGTATGATTTTCAAACACCAATAATAAGCTTTATTTGAACGTACTGTAATACTCGCCGAAATGTTTATCATCCACGTGTTTTGCATTTCATTTTGTGCATTCGTACACAATATTATAAATCTCTACCCACCTATTATTTTCAATATGCATATCGGAATCGAAATGATCTCATGTTAAATTGAATAAGTATTACTACGCTGTAATTATATTTTAAACACGCTATTTTTTCACGTTCAATTTACATAATTACGATAAAATTATTCACCGGCGATTACTTCTCTTATTAGCGGATACATCACTTTTTGATTCATAATTTCGAAATGATCCGTCACGTTTTATTTTTCAGGTACGTCCCAGAAGGTAACATGACTGCCTGCGGTACAGATTATCTTACTAGGGATGCACTCAGCCGGAGCTACATCGTAGTTTATGGATTCTTCGTTTATTTCCTCCCATTACTTTTGATTATCTACTCATATTTCTTCATCGTACAGGTAATATCAGGTTCGAAACACGTTTCCAATAAGCAATCCCGCGTGTAGTTGGAGTATCGAATCATTACACATGCCTTATCAACACTTGACGCGTAAAAAACCGTGTTATCATACTAGAAACTCTGCCAAACTTACCCCGCAGAATTAAGTCAATACAGAAGGGACGATTAATTAATGCACATATTAGGTGGGCTACTGGTATTAAGTTGACCTTAACCTTCAAAAGACACGTGTACAAATTTCACAGCTGTCGGACTATTAGTTTTGTGGGATAGAACATTTTGAGTAAAGCAACTTTCATTAGTTTGAGGAAGATGGATGAAAAAGAAAGAGAGAGAGAGATAATAATACTTTATTGTCATAGGAGTGAACTTTTGGACAAAGTTTCACTTAATCTATAATACAGTTTATATGTAAAAACAAAGTGCATTTAAATTAACAAATTTTCACTTAATACATAAAATCAGTTTGTATATANGGTTGAATTGTACACTGAATTATTATTATTCGGTCAAATTAGACCAAAAATAGGAGTGAAGGTACAAAAATTTGCATCCAGCTCAAAATTGGTAGGACTTTGCAAAATGCTATCATAAATGAAATCTAAAAAATTCTAATTGATCTGATACCTGGAAAAAAGTTTAGTTGGGCTCAAAGGTCATAAAAACGGGTTTTTCGCGATTTTAAGAAAAACGGTCAATTTTATCATAAAATAAGTTCAGAGAGAGAGAGAGAGAATATATTTTATTGTCATAAGAATAAATCTTGTGGACAAAGTTTCACTTAATCTATAACACGGTTTTTATGTAAAAAGTGCATTTAAATTGATCAATTTTCACTTTATACATAAAATCAGTTGGTATCTATAAAAACATATAAGTCATACAGGATACTGGGAAATAATAAATGAGTACATTTTTTTTATATATAAAAACATATAAGTCGTACAGGATGCTGGTAAATAATAAACAAATTAGATATTTTTTCAAAGATTATCATAATCATAATTATCATTATGATAATCTAGTATGGTATATCACTTAAGAAACCTTTCACAGCCTTCCTGAAGCATTGTAAAGACTTTATTTCTGTTAAATTCCTTGGCAAGTGGTTGAACTTGCCAAGGAATTTAACAATTGGTTATGACTGATGTCATTGGTATTGACAACTTAATGTTGTTGGATTGCCTTGTCACATAATGGGTTGGTGAGAATTGAAATTTCTTCAAATATTTCCTAATTAAACACACTGTTTTCATTATGAAGAGAGAAACCACTGTTAGAATTCCATGAGTGGTAAAGTAATCTACAAGAGTCTGTACTTTTTGAGTTACACATGTATCTTACGGCTCGTTTTTGCAAAATTAAAATATTTTGTAGTGGATAACCACTACATACGTCCCAAAATGGAACTACATATCTCAGGTGAGATTCCACCAGAGGTAAATAAACAGTCTTAGCTGCTGTTAAACCAAGTTCATTTGCGACTACTCTGACTGCATAACAACCAGACGACACTTAATTACAGAAACTATAAATATGGTCTTCAAATTTTACTTTTCCATCGATATGTACTCCTAAAAATTTTAAGCTCATTTTGTTCTCAATGATGTCATTCCCAATGGGTATATTGTCAACTTCACATCTGAAAGTCACTATATTAGTTTTCGAAATATTTAGAGACAGACGGTTTGAATCACACCAACTCTTCACTTTCATCATATCGATGGATATGATTTTAGTTGAATCATTTGCATTGTCTGATTGCCAAATAGTGTGAATTTTCCTGAGATATTTATGCTTGTCAAATCGTTGAGATAGATGAGAAACAATGTTGGCCCTAGTATTGAACCTTGAGGCGCAACATTACGTATTTTCCTAATTTCTGAGTGATGGGTTGTTTCCACTGTCTGACTATGATCTGACAAATATGAGCTGAACCAGCTCAGTATCACTCCTCTGAAGCCGTAGTAGGGAAGCTTCCGCAACAGTATTTCGTGATCCACGCAGTCGAAAGCCTTCATAAAATCGCAAAATACTGCAGCAGCAACCTCGCCAGTATTTCGTGTATTTCGTGTATTGATAAAAAATTGTTTTTTGGCGAAAGAAATACTGTTGAAGCCAAGGCTTGACTTGATAAACATTATTCGGACCGTTATTGAGACCGTTGAGAAGTGGTTTGCTGAGGTTGAACGAGGTGAAACGAACCCCAAAGAGGTTGTTACCGAAGAAAACATCAAATAAATCCCCAAAATGATTTTGGATGACCGCAAAGTGAAGTTGATCGTGAAAGCTGAGGCTCTAAAGATATCAAAGGAACGTGTTGGACATATCGTGCATGAATATTTGGGTATGCGACAGCTCTGTTCACAATCGACCAAAACAACAACGAATTGATAATTATGAACAGTGTTTGGAGCTGTTCCACCATGAGAAAAACCAGAATTTATGCATCGATGTGTGACAATGGATGCAACATGGCTTCATCATTTCATACAGAATCAAAACCATCATCTGAGTGGACTGTATGATGACAACAATTGCTTCAATTTCAAGATCTTGAACACTTGTCCATTTCCAAGGGAAGTTTTAGGTGATAGTTCAGCATATCGAGAAATAATTTCAATTCTAACTTTCTGTTTCTTCTGAGAGCTCACAGATTTCTAGTGTAGAAGAGAAATGAAATGAATTTGAGAAACCCAATGTGTCCAGTTGAAAAAATACTATGTTATCGCTAGACTTGAAGAATGTTTAAATCCGTCTTTGTCATTCTTTACGACTATCAAATGTCACCTAAGGTTATTATCTATATGAGTTTATATATGAGTTCTTTCTTCTTAGTATGGAATGCGACAATGAAAGCTGAGATGGGTTTGTTTGTAAATCTCATGTAAATGAACCGGGAGTCTGTTGTTGAGTTCGAAATTTCTCATCTATGAAGGTCTATAGAGTCTTGATTCGCAAAACATTGCTGTCAACCGCTGAAGATGTCCGTTGTAGTTACGGGCGAAACAGTTGGTGCCAATCCCTACATTGGACTATGGTAATCCAGCTCAGATGATCACAGTTTACATTCACAGAGAAGATATACATAAGGATAAGCGATACATGAGACATGGGATCATTTTTTACAGCATCGAAAACTTCGACTTATTAGAGCATCTGACCTTTTGCTTTCCTCAGTTCAGATTGGCCAAAGGTGGAAACCGAAGATTTGAATATGGTTTGCCAGGATGACATCTTCAACATCCTACTTTACCGTAGAGGCTTGATATCAGATGCAGGGTTCAAGGCGAAGACGATTATTATGCTTCTGGTCTCAGAATGCTCAATATCAGATCTCTAGAGATGTAGTGAAGTTAAAGATCCTGATGTAGTTCTATACCTTAGAAGTAAGACGATATTTGTCCCGAAGTTTCTGGGTTCGGGGAAGATGACTATCGTCTGAAACGAGTAGAAATATCGCGATTAATTCTTGGATTTCTAAGAACTCTAGTCAGACCACTACTGATTATCAGAGTCCTTGGTGGTATGAAGCCTTTCCTACTCTGGAACCTCCATCGGTGTAAATAGTTATGAAGAGGGCTAAACTTTTTAGTTCATTCCTTGTAGGTACTTTGAAATATGATGAACTCAGCTATCTCTTACCCAAGAGTGGCCACTGGTTGGAGTCAGAGTCTTGCAATCTGAATTGCACATTGATAAAGTTCATAAAAACTTCATTTCTGACAAGAATGTTTCAACTACCAGCCTAAGAATCTAATATATTGCCCAATTAATTGTTTAAAACATGTAAGTAATCCATCTATTTCCTTATTTTTTGTGAATTGGGCGATACTTGATGAAAATCCATATTGAAACTCATCAATACAGTTTATTGTATGATTTTCACTATAAAGGGCTTCACAAAAACCGCTTTACAAATCCTTTATAATAAAAATCACACAATAAACAGTATTAATGAGTTTTAACCATTTTATTGTGAGATTTTCACTGGATTGTTCACGAAACAGCAACATCAAGTGTTTCGTTATACGAGGTATATTCAAAAGATAAGGTGAATTGTCATTTTTCTCAAAGCATGTTCATTCATTCATCAATTTCTATTCTGTCCCCTTCAAAGTTGTCCCCCTCAGGTATAATACACTTGTGCCAGCGTCCTTTCAATCCTCAAAGCAGTTCTTATATGCACTTTTTGGTATGCCCTTGAGCTCTCTGGGCCAATCGATTTTATCCCATCAATCGTCGCGAAACGCCGTCTTTTTATGGGTCTCTTGAATTATGGAAACAGAAAAAAGTCGCAGGGGGCTAAATCTGGTGAATACTATGGTTGAAACACTTTCTCGACCTTCCATGAAAAGCTTGTACCACTTGTAAACATTTTCCTGACTCAGAGTATCCATTTTTTCGATAGCAAAAAATTGCCGTACAGGCTAAACACTTCTAACTTTCATGTCTCTCACCAACAAACTACACATGTTACACAGCTAAAACTGAACATGTTCGAGACGTGTACCAACGCAGCCCGCGAAATTTGAACATTCACCTTATTTTTTGAACTGACCTGTAACAATACCCTTCTCAATATAAAATGTTACTTGAATAACTTCATTACAGTCTGAAATCATCTTGGAATCAACTGTTGATTATATAAATCTTGTATAAATATCACGAATATATTGAACATTACATCTTCAGTGAGATCAATTGAATTTAATTGGAGTAAATTGAATTTTTATTCTTATCCGTTTAACAGCTACATTCGACCCTATAACTCGGGAATGTAGGGTGTCTCCAGAGGCTCCAATAAATTCAAAACATCGCCAGAACACTTCGTGACACGACTATCGTCAAACTTAAATCAGTCCGTTTCGTCTTTGACCAATGCGTAATAATGACCAAATTCAACGCCAGAACCACAGTGAACAATGACTGCGTGAAGATTATAATAGTAGTCTGCTAGATTGAAGGGTTCATCTATTTTGAACCTTCGTAAGAGTTTGGTGCTTCCGTCAGAGGTTGAGTCATGTTAGAAGATCATCAGTGTTATTGTTAGATTGACTGGTGCCTCAGCTATACTTGTTTCCTTATAACAGTCAGTTAGTTTGGCGCATGTTTGGCAATACAGTCTATCATCACCTGTTTTACAAAAAAGAGCCCTGAGATACCTCTGTAAACTGAAATTTCGAGATTCGTGCAGATTTCACTGCAAGCAACACAACATACTTATGGTAGTGTCTATATTTATACGTGTATCTCATTAATGAACACAAACGAAATTTCATTACAGAGAATAGATACTCCACCCGTCAAAGTAACCATCTAAATCACCTTCCAAATAGTTTTAAAGATATACCGTCCAACGTCAGCTTCAGAAAAGCAGTAAGAAGAGTTTTTTCTCCGAAAGAACCTATTATAGTTTGGAAGAATATTATGCGGACAGAATAGAATGATAAATAGACCAAAACTATACATTTTGGTATCATATACCTTTTATTGTTTGTTATATTTTGAATTTCAAATAAGTGACTGATTGTTTTTATTCAATTCAATTTTATATGGTAGTAACTATTTTGTACATTTATCAAATGTTATTAATTTAATTACATTTACATTTATATATACACGCTTTGTCAACAAGATGTTATTCTTTGATTCTTGATTGATTAGTCTAAGTATTACTGATGGTATATTGGTGGAATAAGATTGAATTGAAAATTCATGGTCGTGCTATGGTTTCATGGTTTTTACAGAAGCTACTGTATGCATAACAGACTATTTAGTCAGCTATTTCCGAAGTTTTGTACAGACCCAGATGAGTGTTACATAAAATATGACAAATACATTAATTCAAAATTTATTTTATAGGCCGTAGCTGCTCACGAGAAATCCATGCGGGATCAGGCGAAGAAAATGAACGTAGCTTCCCTGAGATCAGCGGAAGCTTCCCAGACGAGTGCAGAATGCAAATTAGCCAAGATCGCCTTGATGACAATCACTCTGTGGTTCATGGCGTGGACTCCTTATTTGGTCACAAACTTCACCGGAATTTTCGGAAACTCGAAAATCAGTCCGCTGGCCACGATCTGGTGCTCACTGTTCGCAAAGGCTAACGCCGTTTACAACCCGATTGTATATGGAATTAGGTAAGAATAATAGTATATTATTCCATGAGCCTGAAATGTGGTCATTACTCGTGAGAATGAAGTAATGATCATTTTTTGCCAGTAAAGTACGAGTAAAATATCATTACATTTTAAAACAAGAACAAACCTACAAAAGAATTCAAAAAATTCCCTATTATGTTATTCTCTTCAATTTCAAATAGTTTGAAGAAGAAAAATGTTGCTGGATGACGGTGGATGCGGAAGCAATTCGTAGCACAACTCTCGCAATTTTGCCATCGTTTTCATTGATTTAGTCGCTGTTGATAATTTTTCCCTTTTGAAGATAGTCGATGAATTTTTTGTTCCATATTGAAGCATAAATTTGGTCACTGAATAATCCAACTTTACTTTATTTGACTTCAAATACAACAAACACTTTAACTAAAACTTCAACTATGATTTGAATGTCTGTCGCCTAACTAGATCATTCCGCGAACCGCACTGTAACGTCCACTCGACTGTCTCGATATGCTCGCAGCTAGCGTTTAAATATCGTAATCGAATGCCGTAGAAATTCGAAGTTCTGTCAAAGTCGGTAGCATTATTCTCGCTGTTTCTCGAGTGGTGGGGAATGATCGTATACTCACGCTCTTAACCACGTCACGCCTGGTTTATGGCTACCAGCGGCGACCGGCGTTATTTTCTTTCGGGCATGATTTTCAACAATAATTTAGTGGACTTTTTTGATGTTTCCATCGGTAAAAACCTCTTTGGGGCTTCCACTACGTGCATCGTCCACGGTGATCATTTCACCTCGTTCAAATTTAGCAAACCTTGTCTCAACGGTTGATTTTTCTGGTGCAAAGTTCGATTATTGTTTATCATTTGGCATGATATACATATCATGCCAAATATATATAATTAGGCTCAACAGTTTGTTTACTCTTTTGACGAGTAGGGTTCAACCATGTTACAATAGAACGTAGGTTCATGATACGCACCCAAATGCTCCTCTATAATCAAAATTAAGCTTCACCTGAATGAAGTGACGAAGATAAAATGATTAGTTAATACATCAACTAAAGTTATTTATGTATGTATACTTTATCAGAAGTTCAATAACCTATTTTTATGAAAATTTACTCCTCCATTTTTTGTGGGAAGATACTTTCTGCCTATCCAGTGATTTACTCTTTGATAAGGGATACCACAGGGTTGAATACTCGGCCTTCCATCATTTTCTGTTCACACACCTAAATTTTCAAAAACTGAAGTTTCATAAAAGTCATAAACAGGCTGATGACACGCAAATATACAAGTATTTTGGCACTTTGAGGTTAAAAACCACTCGCGAAAGTGTTCAGATTTTAATTACATTCCCTAGTTTTCAAAAGCATACTGCCTTTTGTTTAACGATTCCAAAAGTGATTTGTTTGTCCTAGGTTATAAAAATAGAGAATGTCAAAAATGATGCTAATCTTCAATTCAACTTAATGATAGACCTTTTGAAATATCTGATAACGTTGGAGATTCAGACCTGAATATATATATTGAAGGTAACTAGAATGGTAACCCGAGATTCGACAAGCATATGCATTTTTATTTAGAAAACCCTTGTGGAAATATAAGAATGCTGTCCATATACGAACATATTATGAACATAGAAATAAAACTCAGGTTGTGTTAATTTCTTTGTTCTGAAAATTGCGATATAGAAATCTATCCAGGGATAGAAACAGTTTTCAGAAATTACAGAATGACCTTACTACTGAACATCTTCATGATTCAAGATCTTCATGGTTGAACATAAACTCATACTACATATGAGCTGTTAGATTCAAAAATTAAAAAAGAGTTTTGAGCTCGAGTTCATCTAATATCTAATTACTTCGGTTATCCAGAAGGTTCTCTGGAAAATATGGTATGCCCTCTCATAAACTCCACTCTTCCAAAAATCTTTTTTATATTCATCTTTAAAAGTGTTCAACTCCTCAGCGGTTTATATTAAAGTTAACTTGTCAAAACTCATTTACTGTTTCTAGAATAAATAATTGAAATTCAATTTTTTGTAATTCGCATTTGTTACGATTGATTCGATATAATTTCAGGCTGAATGCATGTCTATATTTGGTTAAGTTTTGTTCCTCTTCACTGTTTCACAATCTGTTGGTAACTTGGAGGGTTGCATAAAAAATAAACCATTTTGAATGACTTTTCCCAGAGAAAATTTGTTTATAGTAACATTGTTTTCTGAAAATGAAGACACATTACTATTATTATTATTATTATTATCGTTACATAGCAGTTTATACTAATGCTCTTTCACTTTGTACACCAAAATCCAATTTTGCAGTATTTTCAATACCGCTCTACAGCTCCTTGGTAGATATTAATTCAATTTTATTTTGAAGAAAAGAGAATTGAAAATTTGTATGTTTTTTTACCACTTTTATTTGTAACTAACGTTACTGCAGTTTTGTCCTATAAGGACATTTTCAAACTTATACATTAAAGTTTAATTCTCCTTTTCTTAATTATGATTTCCTACCACGTAGTAACGGCTACATCAATCAGTTTATCAATTCCATTTCTTTTCAGCCATCCAAAATACAGGCAGGCATTGGAGAAGAAGTTCCCCTCGTTGGTATGTGCTTCTCACACAGACGACACAGTATCAACGGTAACAGGAGCTTCGAATGTTGGAGAAGAAAAGGTGCCCGCCTAAGCTCATCGATTTCTTGACTAACTCTATGTCTTGGTGTACGTACTTGAAGATATATTTGTAAATAACGAAGATGTAAAAAGTTTATCAAAAGGGCGTTGCATAGTTTTCTTGTTAACAATAAACCCTGCAAGCTTATATCTGATTTTCAATTTTTCCTTTGATAGGCAGGGGGGAGGTTTTGAAAGAATTTCGAGAGAAGTGCATATTGTTAATATGGGATTACATGCTGTGGGGGAAAGGATTCTTAGATCAGTGTTTTTGTGAGTGGTTCAGAAAAATTAAGCAGTAGCTTGTATAATATAGAAATCTTTACTGATTACGGTAGTTACTCGACAATGCTACTGACAATTACAGAGCTGAAATGAAGAAAATCGCCACAGTAGAACCTTATTGACTCTACTTTTACCAATATATACAGGCTGATTCACGGTGGATGGCACATTAGACGTTTCTGGTGAACAGTTCTGTCAGAGTCAATAATTTTTGGTTTGTTTGAGGCTTTTAAATGTCATTAGTTTTCATCATTTGTACGATCTGTACTGTCATTCAGCTGTAGTCACGATGGTTTACAGTATACCTGAGCGCGTGGAGATAATTTTCATAGTTGCCTCCCAGAACCAGTATTATTTAAATGGAAGGCATCCGGACAAAAATGTAAGTCACGTGTACGTCCGCGATTTAGTTGAAAAGTTTAGAGAAACGGGATCAGTGCAAAATGAAAAAAGGCATGCCCCAAGATTACTGAATGAAGCAACCCAAATTGAGGTCCTTGGAAATTTTGCAATGGAGCCTACTGCATCAACACGTCAAGTATCTGCAGTGACAGGACTTTCACAGGAGTCGGTTAGAAAGGTGTTGAAATTACATAAGTATCACCCGTATAAAACACAAATTCTTCAAGAACTAGGCGATGATGATCCAGACCGACGAATTGAGTTTTGTGAACTCATGACTGAAAGAATTCGCGTATAACCGAGAATGTTAAAAAATATTTGTTTCAGTGATGAATGTACTTTTATGCTGAATGGTAATGTAAATAAACAAAACTGTCGGTACTGAAGTGATGCGAACCCGCATCGATTCAGAGAAGGTCACACTTAATATCCTAAAAAACTGAATGTTTGGACAGGAATATTAGGCGATGTTATAATTGGTCCCTTGTTCATACCAGGCAATTCAAGTGGCGACGAAGATTTGCTGCACTTCCAACAAGATGGAGCATACTCCATGGATACTAATTATCCGAACAAATGGATTGGAAGAAGAGGTCTCATTGAGTGGCCACCGAGATCACCAGACTTGGCGCCATCTGACTTTTTTCTGTGGGGGCACCTTAAGTCAGTTGTTTATAAAACTCAACCTGCGTCCCTTGGGGAATTGCGAGAAAGAATTACGCAAGCATGTCGCGCCATTACTAGAACAACATATGCCAAAGTTCGTGCAGAATTTGAAAATTACTGTTTACAAAACAACGGAACACACTTTGAACATTTACTTAATTGAAATTTTTAATAAATTTGCAGTTCAACAAAAACCTCATTAAATATTCCTTTAAGCCAAAGTTTCACAATTATTTCTTCACCCTGTACAATTATTATTTATACCATTGGATAGCATTTTTCATAGTCTTTTCAATGATGTATCACAAGTAGGGGTTTGCAATTTAAACTTTTAGTGTTTTGGGGGGTTGGGCCTAGGGGGTTGATGGGGGTGAGTTCTCTTTCATGTCACTTTAGTTCCCCTTACTATCCTAGAAACGGCTTCAAGCATTTTTCGATATCAGCTTTCGTTCGTGAGATATAGCCCATTGTAAGTTTTAAAATGGACACACTGTAAGTCATACAGGNTTATTGAGACCGTTGAGAAGTGGTTTGCTGAGGTTGAACGAGGTGAAACGAACCCCAAAGAGGTTGTTACCGAAGAAAACATCAAATAAATCCCCAAAATGATTTTGGATGACCGCAAAGTGAAGTTGATCGTGAAAGCTGAGGCTCTAAAGTATCAAAGGAACGTGTTGGACATATCGTCCATGAATATTTTGGTATGCGACAGCTCTGTTCACAATCGACCAAAACAACAACGAATTGATGATTCTGAACAGTGTTTGGAGCTGTTTCACCATGAGATAAACCAGAATTTATGCATCGATGTGTGACAATGGATGCAACATGGCTTCATCATTTCATACAGAATCAAAACCATCGTCATCTGAGTGGACTGCATGTGGTGAATCGACTATAAAGCGTGCAACACCAAACCGTTATTTTAACACCTCAACACGTGTTTCGATCTCCAAGTGATCATCTTCAAGAGGAAGATCAAACTTCAATTGAAGATGATCACTTGGTGATCGAAACACGTGTCGAGGTGTTAAAATTACGGTTTGGTGTTGGGAAAGAACTCCAGTAATACTAGTATCAGTATTTTGGGATGCGTATAATATTCATCGACTATCTTAAAAAGAGAAAAACCATCAACAACGACTATTACATGGAGCTTCTGAAGGACGAAATCGCCCCGTTCGATGAAAAAAAAGTGGGATTTCATCAAGAACATGCACCGTGTCACAAATCAATGAAAACGTTGGCAAAAGTGCATGACATGGACATCGAATTGCTACTGCATCCACCACATTCTCCAGATCTGGCACCCAGCGACTTTTTACTGTTCTCAGACCTCAAGAGAATATTCGCTGGGAAGAAATTCAGCGCCGATGAACAGGTAATCTCTGAAACTGGGGCCTATTTTGAGGTCAAAGACAAATCGTACTTTAAATTGGCATCGAAAAATAGTGTCACCGCTATAATCGCTAGATTGAGTAATGAGATCAAATTTTATCAATATTTTTTCTATGGTAGCCTACGAACTTTTTACTACGTCACCAACAAAATACGAGATAAAAACATACTTTTATATGGCATATTTTTTTATACAAGCATAAAACATTTGATGTTTGGAATCTCACGGGGTTACATTTTGGTGAATTTCATAAATGAAAGCAATTCTTCATTCTTCATAGGTTGTTTGGAGCAGCTGCTACGTCGTTTCGTTTTCATTACTTTGTTCTTGCACAAATTGATGACACATGTGTAAAGATTCATTGACCGTTCTGTAAATTATTATTCTGCAATGTTTTATAAGCGTTATTGGAAATTAGGTTTGCTGATTTTTTCAAGTTTCGAGTAATGTTAGGTAATTGTGAAAAAATATGTTAACAAAACCACTTTGTAGTGCAATATCTGCTTGGATATATGTGGAATTACTGATTCTTCACTCTGTTGTCAGTCTAATTGATTTTAAAGCCACTCTGCCTTTATTTTTATTAATCACCATGTCGGTAATTCATTAATAAAAAAATCAGTTTTCTACAGGTAAAACTATAGGTATAGCGCAATATAGAAAGTATAAACTACTTTTGAAATTCAAAATTTGCATATGGTTATAAATGATTGAAACTGCCATGAAATAGTATAATTTGATTATGATTAAATTTCGCTACTTTTTTCATTAAACCTTTTGGATCTACATGTATCCGTAAGAAGGTAAAAAAAGGTATATACTGTAAGTAAGTATATACTGACATGTAGTGCCAGTAACAAACCGCCACAAATATTTTTCCTGTCAAACATTGCTGTTGTAACATATATTTAATATGATTTGATATGCAATTAACTTTTTTTCGTAAGTATCAATATATTTCTTCTAAAAACCTACAGATTCCTTGTGTTCCTGAAACCTTGCAATTTGGCGCAATCAGTATGATGACAACAATTGCTTCAATTTCAAGAAGATCTTGAACACTTGTACATTTCCAAGGAATATTTTAGGTGATAGTTCAGCATATCGAGAAATAATTTCAATTCTAACTTTCTGTTTCTTCTGAGAGCTCACAGATTTCTAGTGTAGAAGAGAAATGATAAGTAATCCATCTATTTCCTTCTTTTCTGTGAATTGGGCGATACTTGATGAAAATCCATATTGAAACTCATTAATACAGTTTATTGTATGATTTTCACTATAAAGGGATTCACAAAAACCGCTTTACGAATCCTTTTTAATAAAAATCATACATTAAACAGTATTAATGAGTTTTAACAATTTTATTGTGAGATTTTCAACCGCAACATCAAGTGTTTCGTTATACGAGGTATATTCAAAAGATAAGGTGAATTGTCATTTTTCTCAGAGCATGTTCATTTATTCATCAATTTCTATTCCGTCCCCTTCAAAGTTGTCCCCCTCAGGTGCACATATACTTGTGCCAGCGTCCTTTCAATCCTCAAAGCAGTTCTTATATGCACTTTTTTGTATGCCCTTGAGCTCTCTCAGCCAATCGGTTTTTATCTCATCAATCGTCGCGAAACGCCGTCCTATTATGGGTCTCTTGAATCATGGGAACAGAAAAAAGTCGCACGGGGCTAAATCTGGTGAATACTATGGTTGAAACACCTTCTCGACCTTCCATGAAAAGCTTGTACCACTTTTAAACATTTTCCTGACTCAGAGTATCCATTTTTTCGATAGCAAAAAATTGTCCTACATGCTAATCACTTCAACTCTCACCAACAAACTACACATGTTACACAGCTAAAACTGAACATGTTCGAGACGTGTACCAACGTAGCCTGCGAAATTTGAACATTCACCTTATTTTTTGAACTGACCTGGTACAATAGCCCTCTCAATATAAAATGTTACTTGAATAACTTCATTACAGTCTGAAATCATCTTGGAATCGACTGTTGATTATATAAGTCTTGCATAAATATCACGAACATATTTAACATTGAGAACAGTGAATTGAATTTAATTGGAGTAAATTGAATTTTTATTCTTATCCGTTTAACAGCTACATTCGACCCTATAACTCGGGACGAATTCAGGACACTATTTACTATTCGTATGTCGAGGGTTATTTGGAGATTATTCAACATTAAAAAATTTAATTGATGACTTTGCAACCTCTTTTGTTCGATTGATTGTTTTTGGATTCCTGTTGGAAGGTGGTAATAATATTAGGTACTAAATACTGAAATTTTTCTTCCTTTGCAAATACTCTTACTTTCTAATTGTTATTATCATACTGGTTCATTGAGCAGGAAACTTCTGAATTAATTGTGGAAGATAACTAAGAT